TCGCTTCTAACCACCATAGCAATTCCTTGTTTTTAATATAAAAAATATTCAGAAGATAAATTGTTTAGTTTCTCACTCTTCACTCAATTATAATTAAATCACTGAACTTTAATCCAATATAACCTAATATTTATAATTTGATTCAATTATAACTTTGGTTGGTATAACCCAATTCTTAATTTTAATTGTTTAAAATATTAATTATTAGAGGTGTCCACATTTAATATTCAATCATATAATGAATAAGATATTTTAAATAGAAGGATGTATATAAGTAATAAAAAAATTAATCATTAAACCTCAATAAATAACTTTACTATTTATAATTTTTTTAAAATATATGAATTAATATTTTAAATAATTAAAATTATAAAGTTTGAGTTGTGTCAAGTTAAAATTTAGGGATTAACTTATAATAAGACAATAATTATAAAAATTAAATGATTAATTTTATTTAAAAAAAATTTGTAGATGACATTAATTGACTAATTGTACTACCATTGCGTGAGTCAGTGTGTACACAAGAGTGGGGTCAAGTTCCAATTAGTAAATGAGAATTGACACATAATCGATGGCCTCGTTTTTGACATGCCGTGTGCCACAAAAATGGGAGTCGCTTTCTACATCCTCTATTTATTTTCTTCATCCCCGTAAAGAAAGTATCAGCCTTCATTAAAATTTCCTCCCTCTATTTTTTTTTTCTTCATTAAGTCAAACGTATCAAATTTAATATCTCTATTATCCAAATAAATATTTTATATTTCCATGATGTTTTTGTTTAATTTTCTATTTTTCCTATTAACTATGGTGTTCTCCAAAATTTTCACAATCCCAATTTGCAAGGGCCAAAACTCAAATTTGGAATCTAATAATGATAATGAAGTTCCAAATTTCTAAATTTGCATTTTCAATAGATAATTATAACTTATTTTTAAGAAAAAATTGTCAGACCTAATTGTTACTCTTTCGATAGAAAATCAAATTAATTAATTATTTAATCTATGCTAACCTTTACCAACTTTGCTTATCTTTCTTGTCCATTTTTTATTTAAGTCATTTGACAAGGAAAACATAAAAATGATGTACAAGTTAAACCCAAAAATATCAATTTTTTTTTATTCCTTGTCCTTCCTCTTAAACACAGTTATGAACTTCTACAAAGAAGTTTTCACAACGCGCAAACTATTAGTATAAGCAAACACAGTTCAAAGGGAGAGGGCTCTCTTCATTTTTCTCTATTTCTTCCATCCTCACCATTCAAATTATTTTATTAAATAATTTTTTTAAATGATAAAATTAATAAATAGTGGGGATGGGAGAAATGAAAAGAAATTGAGGAAAAAAAAAGTAGAAAGACCCCTCTTCCCAATTCAATAATTATTGTGGTCAATTAGTACAACAGTTTTAAATACTTAATTTTGTATACTTAATATATTTTATCCAAACAAATTAATATAAATAGATTTTAATGTGTTGGTAATATTAATAATAAAGGTTTGGTATACAATAAATAATTCATAAAAAATACGCGTGTCATTGTTTAATTGATAATAAATACTTTTAATATATAAGTCTAAGTATATAATTTTTTATTTTAAATTAATTTCCTAACTGTTTTTCTATAACAATCCTGAGAGTAATTTAAACGTATTTTTTATATGAAAATGATCTTCAATATGTATTGATGAGTAGTACGTATGGAGAGGAGAGAATAATGAGAACTTGCAAACTTGTATTCGTTGGAATTTTTAATGAACAACAGATTTTTAATTAGGCCTTGATAAGAATTTTTAAGTCAATAAACAAAGGATACATCTGCAGCTGTCTTCCAGTAATTTTCTTGGCATCCTTAATGAATACTTTGAAATTCACATGAGGCGTAGAATCTTTTTTTTTTTTTTTTTGACCAGGTGAGACGTAGAATCTAATCCCTTGAACTTTTGGTTGTGTACATACAACGAAGCGGGTTCAAGATTTCTCCATTTCATTTTCTCTTGAAAGCCCACCACATAGTGAATCACACACACACAAATGTATATAAACGCTTCCTTGCCTCATAAAGTACGTATGATAACGAAAACCCCTGGGATGGGTTGGGACTAACCAATCGAATCCCATTCTCATAAATGCGCACCGAATTTTTACATATAATATATATATTAGTTTTATCCATAAATTACTTTTAACATATGTTATTATAATTTAAAAAAATTTAAAACTCAATAAATTTATTTAAAAATTTAATAAATTTTTAACTTTACTCCTAGTAAATATACATACTTTAATAAAATATGTGCTCTGTCCAATATTTAATGAAAGATAAAAAAATTATGATAAAAATTTAATAACGTGACTTATAAATAAAAATAAATATCAATATGCACTTTAAACCTTGAACTATAATATTAGGTGTGATTTAAATTTTAAATTTTTAAAAGATACATTTTGAACTCTAAATAATTAAAGTTTGACAATTCCGCTTTACCGTTAAATTTCGACAAATGTCAATCAAATTTGGCCTTAATATTTGATTTTTTTCAAATTTCACTCTCTCTTTTTTCCCACCCTAATTTGGTAAAAATTACATATTAGGCCTTAATTTTACAAACGTTTATCTAAACTTAACGGTAGGAATAAATTTTCTCTAACTTTAGTTGCTTAAATTTCCTAATGCACCTTTTAAAAATTTAGGATTTAAATCACTCTTAAACTTATAGTTCAAGGTTTAAGTTACATATTAACCCCAAAGATAAAAAAAAAATCTCTTTCTAACATATAAATAAAACTAGAGGGAATACTCCCTTTTATTTTCTGTTTTTAATTACAAGTCATTTTTAACTATTTTGTTGAAATCAAGAGAGGTTGTTAAATCATTAAATTTGTATCAAGATTATAAAATATTTCAACTTTACTTATATTATAGGGGAAATGAAATATAGCACTTGAGGGGTCATATAGAAATATTAAATTAACAAGATTATTTTATAAATAATTTATTAGGCATAAAATTAGAAAATTTTAATTAATAATATTTTATATAACTTATATTAAGGACCAATAAATTCAAAAGAAGAAAGTATCAGCATTAAAAAACTCCCTCCACCACAGGACCCCATGCAATGCACAATCAAACTTTTATTTGGTATACAAATATTCCATTTGATCTCTCTTAACATGTACAAAACTTACCAATGTTTATTTTATACTCGTATGCTCTTATTAAAGGTAATTTGTTCAAGATATCATTGAACATTAAATGCAGACATATCTCATAATGGGTTTTTATATTTTGATTTTTCACACCATGAAGAACTAATTTATTCTTTTACTCTCAACCTCCCTTGGAGTTTATTAGCCCTTGATATCATAAAACGGATAGTTGGATTTGAATATGATAAGTGGCACAAATCTGCTTACTCAATGAATATTTTAATTATGACCATTAGAGTCTATTGATGTTTAGAATTTATCAAGATGCATATGTTTTCTTTCAAAAATTCAGAACGATTTTTATGATCATAATACCTTTTATGTATATTGTCCACTTCAAAAATTCAGAATAGTCAATAGCTTGATTTGCAATTTGATTTGGTTGGTGATATTTAGTACTTTATTTATTACAAAATGTAAGACATCTTTAACCAAATCTCACTCCTAATAAAATAGTTATTTACTTTCAAACTAACATTATTTTTTTATATTTACCCCTATTATATACCTTATAATAAATATAAAGTTATTCGTCAATAAAAACACTTAAAAAAATAATAATTATATCTTAAAAGACTAAAATATCTTACATTTTAAAATGGAGGGAGTAATTTTTTTTAGTATCATATGAATTAGAGGGAGTATATTTTAGGAAAAATAACTATTAGGTTTTAAAAATTGAATTAATAACAATTTGGTCATTGACAATTTTTTTTTAAAAAATAATTTGATAATGATGATTTAGACAAACAAATTCAGAAGTTTTAAACACAAATAAAATATTTAAGTTTTAAAAAACCTGTATACTTATGTTATGCTTGGCAGGAGAGAAAAATAGGGAGAAGGAAAAATTAGAAAGAAAATGACATTTTTTTATACTCAACTAATGAGAGAAAAATAACATAAGGGACTAACATATTTTTATTTTTGGCTTTTCTCTCTAAAAATGGAAAGCTTTGAAAAGAAAATTTAATTTTCAAATTTAACTGTTAATATTCTTGTTTCCTACATATTACTTCCCTCAATTTCCATCATCATTTTCTTTCCACGAATTTAAATTATTATATATTTAATAATTTATGAAATAAAAATTAAAATTGGACAAAATAATTTTTTGCTTGCATCGGATAAAATAATTCAAAATTATATTTGTATTTAATCAATAAAATATGATAAAAATTATATAAATAATATTTTAGAATATTAAATTTATCATATATAAATAATAAGATAATGTGAAATTAATAATTTTTCTTCCTCCTATTTTCTCTCATTGAGCCAAACATAGGAAGAGAAAATCATACCCTCCACTTTTTTCTTCTCTTTAATTTTTTCCCTACATTTTCTCTTCTCCCCATTTTTCCTTATGAGCCAAGCATATCATTAACCTTATATACTCAAGATGTTTAGTTTTTAATTAAATCTAAACATATAAATTTTTTATAAATTAATATCATTAACAGAGCAAATCTATTCGTCCTGATAAAATTACAGGAACTTAATCTTTTCCTTTGCCACTTTAACGTTCTTCCCACATTTTGTGGATTATATTTATGCATATGCTTAAATGTAAAAGCAGGGATTTATTACGGGAGGAGGGTTGGGTTTAGTGGAAGCCGGTAAGGGAATGGGGTCCGAATCTCTATAAATTTTGTGCTGTGTGGCCGCCCTTAGCTGTTGCCCCCACTATCACGTTGCCACGTGGCCATCACTATTGTCCAATTCCGGTGGGACCTACCATCAATCAATGCCCACCCCCCAACTTGCCCCTCGAAAATAATGTAACCAAACCCCAAGAGAGAGAAACAGTAAACGCTTTGGGGTTTCTAGAGAGAGAAAGACAGAGCAAGCGAGAAAAGGAAAAAAGAGGCTGCGGTTCCACCCATCAGAGAACAAAAGCCGAGTGAGCTGAGTCGCAGATCGTCGTCCATGGGTCAGATCGTGAGGAGGAAGAAGAAGGGACGCCCTTCCAAGGCCTATCTCGCCCACCGTTCCGGCGAATCTCCGGCTCCCGCTCAGCCCGACCTCCGCCGCAGCCTTCGCCGACGAAATGTGAGGTACAACATCGAGTATGACGACTACCTTGACGAGGACGACGAGGACGAGGACGAGGACGAGAGGAGGAGGGAGAAGAAGCTGAAGCTAGTTGTGAAGCTTAACCAGGATAGGGATAGGGACGAAGAAGAGTCGGCGCCCAGCCGCACGCGCGGTGGGGCGCGTGGGAGTCACTCGCGGGACTCTTCGGAGGAGGACGAGGGTGAAAGGAAGCCCTTGAAGAAGAGGAGGATTAACGGCGGCAGGGTTGGGAATGAAGACGGCGAGGAGGAGGACGAGGAGGAGGAAGGAGGGGATGATAATGATGAAGAAAACGAAAACGAGGAAGACGAGAATCTCCGTGACCATAATGATGATGATGATGATGGCGTGGTAAGTTCTGTATCATTGCCGTGAGTATTATGATTTTTAAATTGTGGCTGTGATCGCCAAAGCAGCTGCATTTCGATTGCTGCAATTGGAATAAAAGTATAAAGCGAAAGAACAGCTGGGGAATACAGATCTAAACCTAAAACTCCATGGAGGAGACCAAAGTGTCTGGTAGAGCAGCAGCGTGGGAGCCAAAGAATTTCAGCAGAGTGTCCAGCTCAGCGAAAATCACTGAGTATTTTTATTTTGGTGCTACAATTGGTCCATAATTCAGCATCCTTCTCTATCTCTCCGTAACTCCGTTTCTCTCTCTAGGTCTTTCTCTCTGTCTGTGTCGGGATTTTTGAGAGAGATAACTAACGGGTCAACTGTCAAAAACTAACACCCGCAGAATCTGATAAGGGCTCCCACACACTCTCGCACACTCTCTCTCTACCCACATCCACCTCTCTATATCTTCTTTCTCTCTCTTTTACTCTTACGTTTTGTCTGCCTTGTCTCTGTCTCTGTCTCCATCGAACGCTCTCATAAACGCAGCCTTTGCCTTTTTATACCTGTATTACATTATTAATTATGTTTCTTGGGGGCTGTGGTTATGACAGGTAAAAGGCAGAAAAGTGGATTCGAAAGGGCTCCACTCTGTTTCAGGTATGTGCTGACTTATGGGTTTAGGTTGTGATTCGTAAGTCTCTTTAATTTTGATGCTGAGCAGTACAGGTTCTATTTGCATAGTCATTTGTGATTTTTTTGAACCCCTTTTTGTTTTATCAGGGACTCCGAGAAAATCTTCATCTGGAATTCCGTTACCTGATAAGAGGACATTAGAGTTGATCCTCGACAAACTTCAGAAGTATGGAATTGGAGTTTCGTTTTTGCATTTCTTCTGCTCTCGCTCTTCTTTGTTTAGACACGAAATCTTTAGGAGAATTTGATAAAATTGTGGCGAGGGATGTATTTAGCACTCATCTATGGCATATATATACATTTATTGGCATTATTTTCGAATGTGATCATTGCCACGTGTCTATACGATGACAGGAAGGACACATACGGTGTGTATGCGGAACCTGTTGATCCGGAAGAGGTGTGATAATTTTTACAGTGAAAAGTGATGATTTTATTGTTGGAATATATTCTGAGGTGAAGGTTGAAAGTTTGTTTGAATGCAGCTTCCTGATTATCACGATGTGATTGAGAATCCAATGGACTTTGCCACAGTACGAAAGAAGCTTGCTAATGGATCATATCCCACGTTAGAACAATTTGAGGTATGTAAATGTATCTACCCAACATAAGTTGACTCTTTCTTTTCCTGTTCAATGATTTTGGTTATTTTGCTTCTTGTTGGCTTATTGACTAGATTTGGATGTTATATGTGTACTTCTTTTTCTGCTCAGTGTTGTGATATATATTACCTATACTTGTGACTTGAAAGACATAGTTACTCATTTCTCTCTTTAAAACTCATGACTCATGATGTTTGGTACCTTCAACAGCACCACTTCTATCTACTAATCATTTCCTTGGTATATTGAATGTGATTTAGATATAGTGGTCGAATTCATTTCTGTCTGTGCTGAGTCCTGCCTTTTGCTCCATTTCTTCAATGGGTTTTATTGAAGTTATTTTACTAGGAAAGCAGTGGCATTTATTATCTATGTCATATGATGCACCTGATGACCCTAATTATCCTTTATTACTTTGTTGCACAAAAGGTGGCAATTATTATCTATGTCATATGATGCACCTGATGACCCTAATTATCCTTTATTACTTTGTTGCACAAAATTCTTAACTCGAAGTTTTCCCTGAAAACAGTATACTCTCATTAGAGGATTGTACTTATTCGACTTTAACAATGTCATGAATATGATCAGTTGCTGTTTATTAGCCACAGGAAGACTTGTTTTAATGCTATTCTGGATTTTATACAGATAACTCCAAAATGTTTCTTACTCAACTGTGACTGATTGTGCTCAACTCTTGAAAAATTCTTGAATGAATTTACTGCTGATTGGTCTGTCATCTGAACCAGTTTTATGCCAAGTATTGATGCCATTGTCCTAATCCTGTAAAATACTGGAAGAGCAAATATTTTATTATCATCACATTGACTTGTTAATGGCATTGTTAAATGCAGAGTGATGTATTTTTAATATGCACAAATGCAATGCAATACAATTCGGCGGAAACTATATACCACAAACAGGTATAAACTGTTTCTCCTTGTTTACTACTTACAAAAGATCATGTTTAAAATAACTGGGTGTCGTTAATCTTTCTGTTGTTTATTATGACTATTATATTTGTAACAGGCACGATCAATACAAGAATTAGCTCGGAAGAAGTTTGAGAAGTTAAGGGTTGACTTTGAACACTCACAAGGTGAGCTGAAATCAGACCAAAAAGCGAGATCAAATTCCTTGGGCAAGAAGCAGACAAAGAAGCCAGTTGGTCATTCCTCACAGGAACCTGTTGGCTCTGATTTCTCTGCCGGCGCGACTCTCGCTAACATTGGAGATGTGCTGCCAACTTCACACCCTATCCCAGGTGGCATGTTTGAGAGGCCTTCCAACAATGATGCCCTTGCCGATGGTAATGGTTTCTTAATTGATGCAAATCAAGAAAAAGCAGATGATGTTTTATCAGGTATTACTGTGCAGGTCATTTCTCTCTTCTCTGGTTATCTGCTTACATTTTGTCTAAATTATCAACTTTTATGTATATTCTCCTGGTAGGATACTTATGTTGCTATCCACTTTATTACTTTGTAACCTCATTTCTTTCTTATTTAAGGGAAGAACCTTCTCTCTAAGTTGGGAAGAAAGCCATTTGGTCTTGATGATAATCGTCGTGGAACTTATAATGCCTTTATGCAACCTGTCACCAAATCAGATTCTGTTCTTATGACATTTGAAAGTGAAATTAAGCAGCTGGTTACCGTATGTACCAAGAAGTGAATTCTAGTTCTGAATAGTTTACTTTCACGCTCTTCTTATCTATAGCAACTTATGTTGTATGTTTTCAAATCAGGTTGGTCTTCATGCTGAATATTCCTATTCTAGGAGTTTAGCTCGTTTTGCTGCTACTTTAGGGCCTGTTGCTTGGAAAATGGCTTCCCGGAGAATTCAGCGGGCACTTCCAAGTGACTGTAAATTTGGTCGCGGTTGGGTTGGAGAGTATGAACCACTTCCAACACCAGTAATAATGCTTGATAATCGAATCCATAAAGAACCTAGTTTTGTTACAAAGTTTCAGTCTACTACTGAATCTGGAAAGGGTGACAAAAATGGCAGGATTTCAGAATCCTCAGTGGATGATAAGGTTCATGGACTCATGTTAGAGGGGAAACAGCCTTCTGTTGATCCTACTAGTAGACCTGCCTCAGAGGGAAAACCATCTCTGTTTAGTTCTGCTGGAATAAGACCCAATGCTCCAGTAAATGTCCTTTATCAGCAACAGAATGTTCAACCCGGGAGTTCTGGCAAGCCTGAGAATAAGGGTTTGAAACAGGTGGAGTTGAACTCCTTGCCCTCTAGTAATCAGAATAATGCCAATCTCAGTGCGAAGTTTTTAAACAATGCGTCACCAGGAGTGTCTAAGCCCAGAGAGATGGTACCTAGGAACATGACTATAGTGCCACCTGTACCTTTCAAGGAGCTAGATAATAACGGAGTTGCAAGTGGAGATTTACCTAATGGAAAAGTCACAAGTTCTAGTATGAATAGACGGGCAATGGGACCTCCCTCTGAAAGCACGTCAAATCAAACTGGCAGAGTTGCTCCTTTTGTGCCCCATGGGCAAGATCAGAATCTTACTGACCCAGTTCAGCTGATGAGGATGTTAGCTGAAAAGGCTCAGAAGCAACAAGCTTCTTCTAATCCTTCTCCCGTTGATACTCCTCCTATGACACCATCAGTTTCATCAGGACGGAGGGATGACTTGAGCAATGCTGCTGCAGCAGCTGCTCGTGCATGGATGTCTGTGGGAGCAGGTGGATTTAAGCAAGGAACTGATAATTCAAGTTCACCCAAAAACCAGATTTCCGCAGATTCTTTATACAACCCATCGCGAGAGTTCCACCAACATATTCCACGAACAAGGGGAGAGTTCCCTTCTGGTGGAATGCCTTTCCAGCCTGAGAAGAACAACTTTCCATTTCAGGCACTAGCATCTCAACCAATTCACCCAGGCAGTGTTTCACAGTTTCCTAATCGGCCTATGGTTTTCCCTCAACTAGCAGCTACTGATTTATCCAGATTTCAAATACAATCTGCTTGGCAAGGTCTCAGTCCGCATGGCCAACCAAGGCAAAAATCAGAAACACTCCCTCCTGACTTGAATATTGGCTTCCAATCTCCAGGGTCACCTGCAAAACAATCTTCTGGTGTGATGGTTGATTCGCAGCAACCAGACCTGGCTCTACAACTATGATATGGCGGCCACAATTATCGGGGCTTGTTTTGACCGGAATTTTGATCTCGAATGAGTCGCTGCATAAATGTGAAAAGGCTACCATATGTTATCTATGGAAGAGATCAAATGAATACCATTATAAGCTTGGGAAGCTTGTTATCCAAGTCCTGAATGCTTGAGTTGAAGATCTCATGAATTTGTGTAAAGGGATCTGGCAAAATGGTCAAATTGAGATGGTTCATGTTCAGATGACTTAGGTGAATTCCACGGAAAATAACTTCCCCACTACTTGCTTCCATCTTTTCACTGATGAGGTTGGATGACTTAATGCAGCAGGTCCGAGTTTTATCTTAAGAGTTTTAAACCCGTAGGAGAAAAATCAATTGGTCAATTGATTATATGGCCATTGGCTTTGATTAGATTTTGTTAATTCGAATCAGCAGGTAAAGAATCTTTGATGCCTTGTACATTGTTTACGAATTGATGAAATTGTCATCTAGATATTTAATTCACTTTATGACTACTTTATCTATTTTGAATTTATGCTAGGGGTATCATCACGTCATAAAGCTGCTAGTGTTCTGTACGTTAGATTCACTCGTCACGTTTAGGTCCAGATGTTCTGAGAAAGACATTTGGTTGCCTTAGATAAAGGTGTTTCATGACTGTTCTTTTTAGCTGGGAAAAGCCTACAGATCACCACGTCATTTATTGATCAATCATAACAGTAAATGAACAAAAAAATAATAATGATAAAAACGGTTGCTGTACTGTGATGAACTTGTCTTTTTTGGAGTCTTTTTATTTGAAATTGTTATTTATGGATGTGTTCAAGGTATTACATGTACAGCAATCCCTCCAAATCACATCTTCAAATCCAGTACCTTGTAACGCAGTAAGGATATTAATGCATTACTCAAAACATTATTTCTACAAGCTAATGATATCAAAATAAGGCAATTTTTTTTTCTTTGGTTACAAAATAAGGCATATGGTTTGGAATTGTTTCTGTCGACTTTGCATTCCCAATGAAGACAGCATGTTTGGCCACCTATATCTCCCGAGCTGTGATGATCTCATTTAATATCAATATTAATATAATTAATGTATTAATAGCTGCTTGTCAAATGATAAGGATGGAGTGGGATATGGATAGAACTATAGAGGTTAGATTAAATTTCCTTGTTGTTCAGTTACATTTCGTTTTCCCCCTCTTACTGGTGTAAAACCTCCTTATCGAATCACAATGTAAACCATAATTTATGGTAGTCGAGGGATTAATTTATGAATAGATTATCAAATTTGTAATTTATGAAAATGTGATCCTAAATTTTCACAGAAAAGGATTTTGGAAACCATTTATGAACTTCTAATGAAAATAATGTTTTGAAAGCATAAGATACCTCAGAGATGTGAATGGAGTTGAAAATAGTTGAAAAATTTCAAGATATTGAAAACAAAGTAATGCACCGTGGCTCGTGTACCATGTGCTGCTTGTCACTTTTTATCCCATGTGCCGCAGCGTGTTGCATGTTTGTAACAGTGATTCTGTTGTCATTTGACAGTATATTCGAGCAACTTTTGACATGCCACATTTCTCCATCCGACATCCAAAAGAGATGATCTGGATGTCTATAAAAAGCTGTTCTCATAAATTAATTAATGACATAAGTTTTATTTTCAAATTAAGTGATACAAAGAAGGTAGACACTTAAGCATATTTTCATAACTTTTTTCTCAACTTTCTCAACAAAAAGGTGTCCAAAACCCTAAGTAAGTGTCAAAAGCCATTTCTAACCCCAAGATCGTATTCATTAAACTTAGTACTATTTGTACAACACACCACATGCACATATACACCACTATATCAAAAATTTCACTCCTCAACCCGTTTAATACAAAAAATAGAAGGGGAAATTTTAGCATTGCATTTTATTAAAAATCATCTGCATCATGTTTGAAACAACCTTATTACACTTGCACTAGTATTTTAGCTTTATCAACATTTATAACTTATCACTCACAACATCTTAGGACCCAAAATACCTTCCAGACATCATAAACAACCATATAGTGCAAGTGAAAGCAAAATGCATCCTAATTGGCAATATTCAATCTATTACATAAAATAAATAAATCAAAGAGGCATTACAATAGGAATACTTAGATTCTTAAGCCTTTAGAGCCTTTTCCTTTTTACACCAGAGCTAAAGCCTGTAAAATATTAAAATAGAGGGGTGAGTTAAGCCATTTAGTAACTAAGGTAAGCCTACCTTGTGCAATTGCATATTAATTGAATAAACATATAAAATTGGAGTTGATTTTCTTAAAATATATACTAACACATGAAACATAAATTGTTATTTCTCGATTAACTCATTCTCATAAATCTCATCTCATTCTCATTTCAATCACACTGTATGTTGCCACAAGACATACAGACATGTGACAATGGCCCAATTTATTAACACGACTTGCCACAAATTTAAATAACCATATGACACATCATATAAATACATATGTATGATTAAACCATCCTTATACCCTCTTTATTTTCTCTGACAAAAATCGTGGACAATAATGTCAAATAGGGTTTTGTCCATGTGATTGGACTGTCTAAGCTCACTAATTATGAGGTGTGACTCATCCAAAGATCATAAGACTTACTCTCGGACCACAGTTTCTCTTACTCTTAAATCTCTAGAGTGTTGCATACCCTAAGAAAACCTCTTCAATAAACTGGTGGAAATAGTTAGATTTTAGTCTCTTGACAAACTATGGGATAAGGCCATACACTCGTGAATCGAAAGACAGTAAAAAATATCATATGAATTTTAACTATTCCTCTCCCTAAGAGAACTCCTGTCAACTAATCATGTCATGTACAATGTTCACTCATTTTTCACAATTTCATTTTTAAAATTAATACATTGGGCTCACGACCATGCATTACCTAAGTGATTATTGAATCTCATTTTCACATATATCATAGATATTTACTACTTTCAAACTCAACACAATCATCTATATTCTATTATGCTTAATCATCAATTAAAATCTTCATGCCAATCATTAATTCCACATTTCAATACAAATTATAGTTTGAAATACATTTCAAATTCATCTTCACATTTTGGTTCAAATCAAAGTGTATGCACGACCACATGTTGCATAGCACGTTATCACATCAACACAATCAATCATTCACATTCACAAACCCATTTTCATATTAATGTATAATTAATAAATAACTACCTAAAGTAGGGTTCCCTTGATTATCTCAAACTGTTGAGAAAAGTTTGCCTCTCAATAGTTAGCTTCCAAGCTTGATTTCCCAAGCCAAACTAGTGCTCAAATGTTCAACCTATAATTAATCAGTTCTAAACTCATCAACATTGTTAAGAACACAATTTTAACTCTCACACTTTTATTGCTTCAACACCTGACATCCTTACTTCTTACCCTTGGCCTTACCCATTAGGTTTATTAACTATCTTTAGCTCCCAATATTATTAATGAGCCACTAAACCTTCATTAATGACATTGCAACTCTTCTAATAACCTTTATTGATGCCATTTTCAGATGTTTATGGCATTTACCTACCAACAACTCTTAAAATGATTTATATTAGATTTAAATACTCTAAACAACTCTCATAAACTCTATTTGAGTCAGTGGTTTTGGACCCATAACTTATATAGAATGAAACTCATCTCCCATTATCAAACCCTAATAAAAAACTTTAAGAAAATAGAAGAGAAAAGGATATTAGGGCTTAGAGAACTTACCTCAAGTAATTACTAGTTTCAAAATGCTTCAAAACTACCAATGGAGCAAACCTTAGCAGAGCTTTGTCAAGCACTTTTGCTTTCCTCTTCTCCCTCTTTTGATCTTTATATTAGTTTGCGATTAGAATATCAAAATTTTTAGCCGTGCATTGCGGTGCACGTAGTGTGTCTTGTGGTGAACGGCACAAAGAGGCCTTCCTTCTTCGTTGCCATCTATGTGTCATGGTAGACGTGTCACGCTGTGACATGTAGCATATAGGCAATCCTTTATGTTTTTTCCTCCTTTCAATGTCTGGGTGGCCTGTCCTTATTTTGGACCCATAATTAGGGCTAAAATTACAACTGATTACATTTATTAGACCTCTCTGGCCATACACCACATCAAATCACTCAATTACTACAATTAAACTTGATTAATTCTTTAGTAATTTAAGGATTAAAATTTAGGATGTTGCAATTGGTTTTAAGTAAGCACCTAATTTGAATTTTAAACTTTAGATGATAAACTAGAGTCTCAAAATGTGGCAAGGAAAAAAAAAAGGTCTCTCTCTTTTGTGGACACTAAAGTCTCAATCCTTAAGGTAAAAAAAAACATTAAATACAAATTAGACCTAAAACCATATTATAGAAGTAAAAGGCAGTTGACAAGAAATAAATTAAGATAAGGTTCAACAATACTACAATTGTCAATATGTATCTGCATGTGAGGGCTATTAGCGTATATTTGGTTTTGACATACATCATAGATATCCTTTCATTGAAAGATTATGCTTTCACCTTCAAAATCAACAGTCAGTTATTTATTCTAATGATGATGGTGTTGCTCATTTGTTGGACAAATAATGAGTAAGCGAGTCATAATTTCTTGCTTGGATGAAAAGGAACGAATGAGATAAAATTATACAAAAATGGACATAAATTGAATTCCCTCATAATTATGTTTATGAATGAGGGAAACGAGCATGGAAATGAAGGGAGTAATGTTTTGTTATGGGTAGAATTACTTATGCAACCACATCATCTGGAGAACTTTACTACCTTAGAATTATATTAACAAAGGTAAAAGGTCCTTTATGCAATGCAATTAAAACTATTGATAGAGTAATCCATAACATTTTCAAAGATTCCTGCTTTGTGATGAGGTTATTAGATGATGATAGGGAATACATAAATGCATTACATGAAGCTGCGACTTGGGCTTCAAGAACATTGTTAAAAAAAGTGCTTGTGAGAATGCTACTGTGTTCTTCCTTGAACCATCCTAATTTTGTATGGAATAAAAATTTCAAGGTATTATCAGAAGATTTATTATATATCTCCAGAAATGATCCAAGCTTATCAGGTAAATATAATATTCTCTTCTACATAACCATCAATCAGTATGATTTATATAAGATTTCTAACAAATCATTTATGTTGTCTTTAACTTACAAAGGCTAATGTTCCAATCTTTGAGAAACAACATACTATAGTATGTGAGATTGATTCACTCCTATAGATTGATGGGAAATATCTTCAAGATTATCCTTCTTTACCATTGCCTCAAGGAGCTTTAACAATTGACGTAACTAACTATCTCATTATACAAGAATTGAACTATGATTGACAAAGCTTGCATTTAGAAACTACAAGGCTAATTAGTTCATTTAATGAAGATTAGAGATATGTTTACAATAGTATCATGTCCTCATTGTCTATACTAAATGAAGGTTTTTTCTTTGTTTATGGTTATGG